TAAAGTCCGCCCTAGACTGACGAGGGCCATTATCCCGAAACCATGGTCTCTAGGTGGACGCTTCTCAGTTTGCCAAAGCTGGTGTTGTGGCTTTTTCACCGACCCGAGGCCGCTAGTTTGCGGAGATGGTCAATAGAATGGCGTCTATTTTTGATGTTTATTTTGACAGGAGAGGTGCCCTATGTTTTTATAGATCAATTTCCTCCCGGCAAAATTTTCATTAAGAAAAGAGAATGAATAAAAGAAGAAGATTTGAACTGGATAGAAATCATGGAAGAATTTCTTTCTAGCTTTCTATTCAGTTTAACTCTTAACCATTCTCTAATTTCATTATTTTTAACTCTTCCCAAAAATGTCTCCATTTAATCCATTTCCTTTGGATATTCCATCCCCAATATTTCTGAGACGTCAAAACCAGACGCCATCTATTGACCGTCGCCGCAAACTAGCGGCCTCGGGTCGGTGACAAAGCCACAACACCAGCTTTGGCAAACTGAAAAGCGTCTACCTGGATACCATGGTTTCGGGCTAATGGCTCTCGTCAGTCCAGGGTGGACTTTAATTCCACGAGATTCACAAAGGACCTAATGGATTATACACAATCTGCCAAAGAGGTTTTCCTCTCGGCAAAACTTACAATTTCAACAAACCTTAGCTAATGAACTCCACGACTTTATGTTTGAATGGACGTTATACTGTTGTCCTTGCTTGTCAGGGTTAGTGTGTGGATTTACTCTCGTCCTCCCATCAATATACTTGAAACACAGAGGTACGAGAGTATATACCCTGATATATGATAACTCATCAAGATTATCTATTATCGCCCAGAAGAAAATAACTGATCATTTACTTATGACGTCATCTTTGACGGTTTATCTTGTGGCAGTGAGAGATGACCTCAAATAACGCTTGTCTCGTTCAAAGGGACATTAAACCGATTTCAAAACAAATTCCCTTTCACAGATAAAAATCTTTCTTTTTAAAAATTCACTTCCTCTTTTCATACTTGTAATATACCTTATAATATTATTATAATATACTAGCGGACGTACCCGGCTTCGCCCGGGTTTCACCCGAGTAAAGGTTTGTCTAACGAATCTCTCGATAAAGTGAACATTTTTTCCCGGTCCCTTGAAAAATACTCGATAAGTTGAATAAAATCAATATTAATTGGTTCCCTTGGTAATTGGAAGTTAAAGGAATAGTATCTTGCCTTGGAATTGTATCATTATTCTTGTATGGACGTACCCGGCTTCGCCCGGGTTTTACCCGAGTAAAGGTTTGTCTAACGAATCTCTCGATAAAGTGAACATTTTTTCCCGGTCCCTTGAAAAATACTCGATAAGTTGAATAAAATCAATATTAATTGGTTCCCTTGGTAATTGGATGTTAAAGGAATAGTATCTTGCCTTGGAATTGTATCATTATTCTTGTATGGACGTACCCGGCTTCGCCCGGGTTATACCCGAGTAAAGGTTTGTCTAACGAATCTCTCGATAAAGTGAACATTTTTTCCCGGTCCCTTGAAAAATACTCGATAAGTTGAATAAAATCAATATTAATTGGTTCCCTCGGTAATTGGAAGTTAAAGGAATAGTATCTTGCCTTGGAATTGTATCATTATTCTTGTATGGACGTACCCGGCTTCGCCCGGGTTTTACCCGAGTAAAGGTTTGTCTAACGAATCTCTCAGTAAAGTGAACATTTTTTCTCGGTCCCTTGAAAAATACTCGATAAGTTGAATAAAATCAATATTAATTGGGTACCTCGGTAATTAGAAGTTAAAGGAATAGTATATTGCCTTGGAATTGTATCATTATTCTTATCTCAAATAAATTGCCGTGTCATCCTGAATTTTGTCTTTCCTAAATTTCTACATTACAAAATCATCGTATCATCATGATAATATTTAGAGCAGATTGTTGAATTATAACAGATAAATTAGAATATTTATCTTGATTATTTTAAAGCGAAAAGTTATTTCAAAAATTTTATTTGCTAGAAACCTTCCCAGTACTATACTAAATAACTTCCCAAAGTTTCATGGCGTTCCAATGAGTGGTTTGGTCAGGCATAAAGGACAGACAGACACACACACACATACATTCATTTATATATATATTGATTCTGTTTAATTAATTTATTTTTGATTGTTTGGATTTGGCAGCACTATAATTGTTGTTGTTGTTATGAATATATTAAAAAGTTAAAATTTTACACAAATAAATTTACTGGCAATGCGTTTCTTTTAAATATCATCAAATATTATCTCTACAGACCTTACTGCATTGATATGAGTTATTGTATGAGAGGGCTTGGCTCATCAGTAGTGAACCCTCTCAGCGGTTTCGCCAAATTAATCTCTATTTATTAAACCGCTGAGAGGGTTCACTACTAATGAGCCAAGCCCTCTCATTCAATAACTCATATCATTCCAGTAAGGTCTGTTGAGATAATATTTGATGATATTTAAAAGAAACGCATTGCCAGTAAATTTATTTGTGTAAAATTTTAACGATAAATGACAATTAAATTTAATTTACTAATATATATGTCATAATATATGCTCTTCCAGGATTAATAAAACAAATCTACAGTCGACCAGAGAGAGAGAGAGAGAGAACGCAGCTAAGGCCGGTCACTTGATATAGCAGTCACATTCCAAGGGGGCGACCGCAGGGCCTTTTCTTGGAACCTCAGTTCTATGTTTACTCAGTCGGGGGGGTGGTGGACACACAAGACGTGCATTTCCGCGGTGGCAGCCGCTAGCGCTCCCTCTCTCCCTCGGTTTGCTGGGTTCCATCTTCCAAACTTGTTGTTTCCTTATTTCTCACTCACCACATTATTATCACATATATTAAAAAGTGTATGTTGGACATTAGAAAGATATATAATTGAAATTTGTTTCTTAATTTGTTAAAGCATATTTATTTATTTAATCGAAGAGAGAGAGAGAGAGAGGAACATCACAATACTTTCACTAAAAGCATGTTGCGTTAGCGGGCCATCTGTTATTCGAAATTCGAACTATTTATGATACGTATGATTCCTTTGAATAAAACAAATTTACCACTGTCCTTACTGCAATGATAAAAAATAATGAGAGGGTCCGGCTCATCAGTGGTGAACCCTCCCAGCGCCCTTCGAGTGTTCACCACTGATGAGCTAGGGCCTCCCATTATTTCTTATCATTGCAGTAAGGACAGTGTGGTAAAATATTCTTTTACTTAAAAGAATCATAAGCGTCATAAATACACTCATGGACAATGTAGTGTATTTGCATATTGAATTATGGATATGCAAATATCCTGTTTTGCATAATAGTTTTCATAGAATTTTGTATATAAATAGCGACAGCTTTTAGCTACCAGCAGTCAGTCAATTTATGTTAATAAACGAGATTACTGGAGTCCGTTTTGCCTCACTGAAGCGACACTTCACTCTTGGTTACCTCCCAACCTTAAAGGATAAAATAACTCTAATTCTCTATGAAAACTATTATGCAAAACAGGATATTTTGCATATCCATAATTCAATATGCAAATACACTACAGACAAAAATGTTTTTGGCGTTCTCACACCCTTTCGACTTTAAATACCTGTTTCATGATTTTTCAGGATGCCCCAAAGACCAGCTTTTTATTTTTTTGGTCGTTGAGGTACAGCTTGCACCACGCTGACGAGGGCAAACACCCCGAAACGTGTACGTGGTTAGCTTTACCTGATTAATCAAGAATGGGTATTTTGGCTAATTCTGGAATAATTTTAAAAATCAACGTTTAGCTGATATTTATTCCGATAGATGGCGCAAGCTATAAATAACTTTTAGTTACACGACCAGGAGATAACCTTTCTCTTAAACTAAGACAGTTGTGTGTGATTTAGAAAACAATTTTAAACATTTAGAAATATATCTTTGAACTTAACGAAAAATTGCGCTACAAATATTAAAAGAATAAAACCATTTGCAAAGAGTTTCTTTTTATTATATTTCACGCGAGCTTTCGGGCTAGAACCGCCCTTCTACAGACAAAATGAACTACAGTGGTACCTCGACATACGAGTTTAATTCGTTCCGCAACCTTGCTCGTATCTTGAATTACTCGTATCTCGAAGCAAATTTCCCCATACAAAATTCCTATTTAAAATCACAGATTAATATCTTCAACACTACCGAACCGAACTCGTATCTCGAATTTCGCTCGTAACTCAAAGCAAAAAATCACTTGCTCGTCGGCTCGTATCTCGAAAAACTCGTATGTTGGGGCGCTCGTATGTCGAGGTACCACTGTATTTACTTTTCGAGAGACATTTATATACATATGTTACAGTTACAAATCTACATAATTACAAATTTACATAAATTTTACATAACCACCAAATTTCGAGAGATTAATCCTTGAATCCCTGATTTCTAAACAACACAATAGAATTAATCCCAGAATAGACATCCCAGAACAATTTTGCCATATTCCACACCACAAAAATCAGATCTCTCGCTTGTCCAATTCATAGGGTAAAACCTAACTTTTTAAAATATCGAAATTTAAGGTTAATTTCCTTCCAATTGAAAAATCATAGTAAAATAGTAATAATGTATGTAAATTTAATTCTTTTCTTCCTGTTAAAATTTATGTAAATTTGTAATTATGTAGATTTGTAACTGTAACATATGTATATAAATGTCTCTCGAAAAACAAATAGTTCATTTTTGCCTGTAGAAGGGCGGTTTTAGCCCGAAAGCTCGCGTGAAATATAATAAAAATAAACTCTTTGCGAATGGTTTTATTTTTATTCTTTTAAGAAATATCTTTGCTTACCGCCAATAGGCCTAGCGCGGTTTAAAACAATCGCCAATGGTCCACTAAAATAATTATCTCATCGAATTTTTTCTTAATTAGATGTTAATTAGTTAATAAATATATATCCAGGTTGAAAGAATTTTCAAAAAGATTGTCCTTTTAAAATTTCTAAAATGTTAAGATGGTAAGATACATATCGCCGAAATAGCTCAGTTGGGAGAGCGTTAGACTGAAGATCTAAAGGTCCCTGGTTCGATCCCGGGTTTCGCCATTTTTTTTTTTTTTGACAACGAACAAAAAAAAAAAAAATTAGGTGCTTGTTATTTTGAATTTTGTGATTAGGAAATTAACAATTTTTTTTTTTTTTTTTTTTTATAATTTAAAAGTGAAAATTTGGGAAATTGTGAATGAATATCTTAAAACATAAAACATAAGATTACTGATCCTATTTATAAAATTTGTAACAATTCATTTTTTAGGGCAATATGTTACTTTCTTTTTTAATATATCATTAAATATTAATGCAAGTTAACCCTGAGAGGGTTCACCACTGATGAGCCAAGCCCTCTCATTCAATAACTTTTATCATTACAGTAAGGTCTGTAGAGATAATATTTGATGATATATATATATGTTATATTAAAATATTTTATTTAAAATTATGTTATATTAAAGTATTATTTTATTTAAAACTAGCGGATGTGCCTGGCTTCGCCCGGGTTTTACCTGAGTGAATGTTTGTCTAACGAACATTTGTTAAAACAATTCTCTATAAACTTATAAAACGTACTCGGCTTCGCCCGGGGTTTTACCCGAGTAAAGGTTTGTCTAGCGAACATTTGTTAAAACAATTCTCTAAAAACTTATTTAAAAAAAAATATATATATATTTTGATAATTTGAAACTCGTAAATTTGAATCTCTCGATAAAGTGAACATTTTTTCCCGGTCCCTGTGTGCCGTGTCATCCTGAATTTTGTCTTTCCTAATTTTCTACAATAGAAAATCATAGTTTTATCTAGTGAACATTTTTTCCCGTGTCACATTGCCGTGTCATCCTGAGATAATCTTACTTTTGATAAATAATATTTAAGATAACAAACTTAGTGATAAGAAAACTTGTTATCATCGTCACAATGGGGGCGCTGCTTGCGAGTTAAATATACAAATCTGCAAATAACTCTGAGGATATTCAAGATATTCATGAAATTATTTTTCAAAAACCTTCCCGGTGATATACCTAATAATATCCCAAAATTTCACGGCGATTGGATGTATGGTTTTGAATCTATAGAGTACAGACAAACAGACAGACAGACATTCAATTTTATATATATAGATTATATTTCATCGATTCAAATACTGTTAAATCGACCGCCAGAGGTCACGCTTTCCCTATAAATACTCATTGTTGTTGTTCCCCGTTGGCCGGCTCAAAACTTTTGTACATTATGTAAATAAGCTTTTCATTCTTTTTTATTCTTACGCCTTAAGCCAGGCAGCACTTTTACCAAATTATGTATTTAATATATTCCTTAGTTCAATTAAAGCAACCTCTGATCAAAACCATTCTTATTATTATTCTTTCAAGATTTAACCACGACTGCATTACCATAATCCTCAACATGATCAAAAATCAACAGAAATCGTATCATTCTTATTTTATATAATCTACCACACGAATGACCCGGGAAACGCCCGGGTTTACCCGATTAAATGTTTTATTCAAACACTATTCGTTACAATTATAAATTTGGCGCCGTGGATGTCACTCTTGTGAAACGTCCCGCTCCAAACTTTACATGTACATTAGGTCAGCTGATATTACCTCCCATCTTCACCGCTAGAGGCGCTGCTCGCGAGCTAAGTAGAATATTTTGAATATATAGTTTTAATAATTGATTTATATATTTTTTTAAAATAGCCTATCGTCTTCCCCGTATTTATGTATGGAAATTTTGGTTTGAATTAGTGAACTACTACGAATTTGTATACCGGACATACAAACAAACATACAAACACTCAGATATACAGTTAAACCTGTCTATAGCGCCCCCTCTTGGGACTCACCAAAATAGGGTGCTATAGAGAGGGGGTGCTATAGATAGGTCACTTTTAATGTAAATCGCATTGTACTACGTATTTAAAATCGGGCGATATAGAGAGGAAGGCGCTATTTAGAGGGGGCGCTATAGACAGGTTTAACTATATTGCTTAAAAATTAATTGTTACAAATTTTGAAGTTAGATGGCAATCAAATTTATAAAAAAGTTATCTTATTTACATATTTTCTCTCAGAATTTTTATGTTTGTCATAAGTAAAGCAAGTTTTGAAGACATTAATGTGGAGCATACA